AAAAGATAGTGCTAATCAAATAACTATAATATATAAATGACTAAATTTACCCAAAAAGAACAAATTATAAATAATACAGAAAAATTTATAAAATAAAATACATACAATTATTTTCTGAAAAAGAAAACTATGATGTGGACTAAATATGAACAAATCTAGAAGCTTAAGCTCCAACAACACCGAGAGTTATTACTTTACAATTGAAGTTATAGATAATAGATAAAAACATCTGTATGTGTGTAATAAACAGCACATTATATTAGAAAAAATCTTATTTTTTAACATAAAGAGAAATTTAGAGAAAAATATAGAGGAAAAATCTAAATTCACTCGCCATTTATCTGTGGCATATGAAGTTCAGAATAACAAAATGACCATACAGGATGTGATGAATACAATAAGGTAATACTGATATACAGATTACGAATCGCAAAAAGATACAGATTATATCATTTTAAAGGTAGTAAAAGTAGGTATCTCTTAGACAGACAATAATTCAAAAAAATTTAATAAGTAGAAACTAGCTGCACTATAAATTAATCACTGTACCAAATTAGAAATTTGTCACATAAAGTTAATCTCAAAGGTATTTGGAAATTTAATGTAATCCAAATAACAAATATGTCAAGGAAGAATTCCAATGTCCCATCACAAAATACGTATTAAAAGGAACACACTTTGTAAAGAAATGTTAATGTGTATTAAAACAAGAAATACATTCAGAACTTAAATGTTTAATTATAAATAACATTTAAAACACTGGTAAAAGTATATATGTGTACTAGCAACATTAAAGGGAAACATAGGAAATAAATAAGTTTTTTTTTTTTTCTGAAGTGGAAGTCTTGCTCTGTTGCCAGGCTGGAGTGCAATGGCGTGATCTCGGCCCACTGCAACCACCTCCGACTCCTGGTTCCAAGCGATTCTCCTGCCTCGGCCTCCCAAGTAGCTGGGACTACAGGTGCGCCACTACCATGCCTGGATAATTTTTTGTATTTTAATAGAGATGGGGCTTTTGTCATGTTGGCAAGGCTGGTCTCGAACTCCTGACCTCAGGTGATTTTGCTCACCTTGGCCCCCAACAAGTGCTGGCATTAGGCGTGAGCCACCATGCCTGGCCAGAATAAATATATTCTAAACTGTAAAAAAGTCTCTCCTATACATACCTCAGCCCACTCAACCCAGAGGCTTGTTTACTATAGAGCACCTAGAAGCAAATGTCCTATTTTCCAAGCTGCTGAGCTTCTGGCATTGTAACCACAACTTTAGTCCCCTTCTCTAATCACTTCTTCAGACTCTGTGATGATGAGATGAGGTTTTCCCATAATTAAGACCTCAGTAATTCTTCTTAGAACTTTAGTTTTACTCTAATCTTCAGACGGATGTTCCCACAAGCTTGCCTGAGTCTTGATGACTCCAATCCCTACATTCAGTACCCCAACCAGTGATTTGGGGAGTTGCAATGTAGCAGTTTTGTGGGTATGTTCAGAGTATTAAAAGAATAAAGTTTCCACAATCAAATTCTTGTGTCAGAGGCGTGACACGAAAGAATCAGAATTGTGTAACCTAACACATGATTCCTTTAAAAAGAAGAAATTAAAAATATAGAATTGGAAAGCTGGGCATGCGGTGGCATGCACCGTGTAGTCCCCGTTACTCCAGAGGCTGAGGCAGAATGATCAACTTGAGGCCCATGAGATTCAAAGCTGCAATGAGCCATGACTGTGTCACTGCACCCCAACCTCAGCAACAAGCAGACCCTCTAAACAAATAAAATAAATAGATATCAATATATTTTTGAGATTCACCAATATTACTCCATGTATTTGCAGCTCATTCTTTTTCACTGGTCCACATTATATTATTGCATAACTACAGAGTATTTATTTAAATCTATTTTTCTGCTGATGGACATTTAAGTTGTTACTGAGGTCTTAATTATGGGAAAACCTCATCTCATCATCACAGAGTCTGAAGGAAGTGATTAGAGAAGGGGACTAAAGTTGTGGTTACAATGCCAGAAGCTCAGCAGCTTGGAAAATAGGACATTTGCTTCTAGTGCTCTATAGTAAACAAGCCTCTGTGGGTTGGAGTGGCTGATATATAAAGGAGACTTTTTTACAGTTTTAGAATTATTTATTTCTGGCCAGGCATGGTGGCTCACGCCTATAATGCCAGCACTTTGGGAGGCCAAGGTGAGCAAATCACCTGAGGTCAGGAGTTCGAGACCAGCCTTGCCAACATGACAAAACCCCATCTCTATTAAAAATACAAAAAATTATCCAGGCATGGTAGTGCGCACCTGTAGTCCCAGCTACTTGGGAGGCCGAGGCAGGAGAATCGCTTGAACCAGGAGTCGGAGGTTGCAGTGGGCCGAGATCACGCCATTGCACTCCAGCCTGGCAACAGAGCAAGACTCCACTTCAGAAAAAAAAAAAAACTTATTTATTTCCTATGTTTCCCTTTAATGTCTTAGTACACATATATACTTTTACCAGTGTTTTAAATGTTATTTATAATTAAACATTTAAGTTCTGAATGTATTTCTGTTTTAAACACATTAACATTTCTTTACAAAGTGTTTCCTTTTTAATACGTATTTTGTATGACATGGAATTCTTCCTTGACATATTTGTTATTTGGAAATATACATTAAATTTCCAAATACCTTTGAATTAACTTTATGTGACAAATTTCTAATTGTACAGTAGATTAATTATATAGTGCAGCTAGTTTCTACTTATTAAATTTTTTTGAATTATTGTTGTCTAAGATACCTACTTTTACTACCTTTAAAATGATATAATCTGTATCTTTTTGCGATTCGTAATCTGTATATCAGTATTACCTTATTGTATTCATCACATCCTGTATGTCATTTTGTTATTCTGAACTTCATATGCCACAGATAAATGGCAGTGATTTAGATTTTTCCTCTATATTTTTTCTCTAAATTTCTCTTTATGTTAAAAAATAAGATTTTTTTCTAATATAATGTGCTGTTTTATTACACACATACAGATGTTTTTATTATTATCTATAACTTCAATTGTAAAGTAATAACTCTCGGTGTTGTTGAGCTTAAGTTCTAGATTTGTTCATATTTAGTCACATCAAGTTTTCTTTTTCAGAAAATAATTGTATGTATTTTATTTATAATTTTTTTCTGTATTATTTTATAATTGGTTCTTTTTGGGTAAATTTAGTCATTTATATATTATAGTTATTTGATTAGCACTATCTTTTATCATTTTTATATGTTTCGAACAGTTTCCTATTGAATATTTTTGCTATAAACTTACTTTTGCTTTCTTTTATGCTTTCTTTAATGCTTTAGTGAGCTTTAACATAAATATTCTATCTGTAACTGTTAGTATATATTAACATAAGTTATTCTGCAAGCATTTAAACCTTATATTTATATATGTATGTATGTATTTATAATATATAAAAATATTTTGATGGTTTTAGAGTAAAACACTTTTTTATTTTATAGCATACATACAAGAAAATGCCATCTTAAATTTATAATTTAATGCATTTTGATAAGTGCATACATAAATGTAACTACCATGCCATTCAAGCTAGAAAAAATTTCCAACACCCCTGAAAGTTTCTCGCCTACTATAGGCAACTGTTATTTTGATTTTTATCACCATAGCTTACTTTCGTCTTTTTCTTGGACCTCATAATAATGAAATTAAATATATCAATATATTTTTGAGATTCACCAATATTACTCCATGTATTTGCAGCTCATTCTTTTTCACTGGTCCACATTATATTATTGCATAACTACAGAGTATTTATTTAAATCTATTTTTCTGCTGATGGACATTTACGTTGTTTCCAGTTTTCACTGTTATGGATAAAGCTATATAAATGGCCTGGGATAATATTTCTGTGGACCTATACTTTCATTTCTGTTTGTTAAAAGCTTAGGACTGGAGTTGCTGCATTCTAGTGTAGATATATTTAGCTTTATAAGAAAATGTCAAATAAATGATAACATATTTTTATATTTTAGAATTTTGAAACACTTCCTCAGAGATTGTAAAATAAAACATTTCCCCTCTCTCTACCTGTCCTCTTTCTAAAAACAACAGTCTCTTAATCTAGCAATTATAAATCCTACATATCTTATGTATTTATAATTATAAATCCTACATATCTTATGTATTTATAATTATAAATCCTACATAACTTATACAGGATATATAATTGTAAATAAATCCTACATATCAATAGTTAACATAGTTAAGATATATATATGTGTGTGTATATATATACACACACACACACACACACATACATCTCATTTTTAAAAAAATAGTGACAAAGCTTACGCACAAATCTCTGCCTTGCTAATTTTCACATAGTGTATCCTGGATACATTTTATATCAACACATAATGACTTACCTATTTGTTTTTAAGTCTCATGCTATTTTGAATACCTTCTTATGAAAGAGTCAAATCAATTGAAGAGCAGAGAGAAAATATCTGAAAATATTATACTGTGGGTTTTGATTAATATTTGTATCATAGTTGGTTTTCTTTTAAGGAGAGCACTTCTGTAACATAGTTTTTACATGGTGGTGCTTATTTTAAAATTTTCTATAATATTAACTACTCACTAAAATATGTGTTTTTTCTTTTTAAAAGACAATGCCACATCTCAGAGTTTGGTTCTATATGGAGCCTCTAAGGAGAACAGTGAAAGTTTTCATGAAAGTAAAATGACAAATACTGAAGGTGAGGACTGAACGTAAATCATATAGTAAACTATATAAGCTATATTTATACTCCCTCGTTAGTTTATGATGTCAATACTATTTCTATTTTGAACTAAATCCTGCATATCATTAATAGTTAACATAGTAAAGATATATAATAGTAAAGATATAAGGTAGTATATTGTATCAATAGTATATTGTTAACATAAAATCTGGGTTTATGATTGTTTTGTAATTTCAGAAATATATGAATTTTAAAATAAATTCTTAACCACCCAAGCTGTGACTGGCCTGTTCTAGATAGAACATTTACAGTTCATTGAGGACATGTTTCTTAGAATAAAAAGAAGACAGATGTTTTGGGGGTGTATTTTTCATTTTGTAAATAATCATTTTATTTTATTTTCTTAAGTTCCAGGGTACATGTGCAGGATGTGCAGGTTTTTTACATAGGTAAACACATGCCATGGTCAATCCATCACCTAAGTATTAAGCCCAACATGCATTAGCTCTTTTCCCTAATGCTTTCCCCCACCCCGCCCTCCCCCCTGCAGGCCCCAGTAAGTGTTCTTCCCCTCCCTGTGTCCATGTGCTCTCATTGTTCAGCTCCCACTTATAAGTGAGAACATGTAGTGTTTGGTTTTCTGTTCCTGTGTTAGTTTGCTGAGGATAATAGCTTCCAGCTTTATCCATGTCCCTGCAAAGGACATGATCTCGTTCCTTTTTATGGCTGCATAATATTCCATGGTGTATATGTACCACATTTTCTTTATCTAGTCTATCATTGATGGGCATTTGGGTTGATTCCATGTCTTTGCTATTATGAATAGTGCTGCAATGAACATAACTCATGCATGTATGTTTATAATAGAATGATTTATGCTCCTTAGGTTGTATACCCAGTAATGGGATTGCTGGGTCAAATGGTATTTCTAGTTCTAAATCTTTGAGGAATTGCCACTGTCTTCCACGGTGATTGAACTAATTTATGCTCCTACCAACAGTGTAAAAGAATTATTTCTCTGCAACCTCACTAGCATCTGTTGTTTCTTGACTTTTTAATAATTGCCATTCTGACTGGCATGAGATGGTATCTCATTGTAGTTTTGATTTGCATTTCTCTAATGATCAGCGATGTTGACCTTTTTAAAATATATTTGTTGGCCACATGTATGCCTTTTTTTTGAGAAGTGTCTGTTCATATCCTTTGCCTGTTTTTTTAACGGGTTGTTTTTTTCTTGTAAATTTGCTTAAGTTCCTTGTAGATTTTGGATATTAGACCTTTGTCAGATGGATAGATTGCAAAAATTTTCTCCCCTTCTGTAAGTTGCCTGTTCGCTCTAATGATACTTTGTTTTGCTGTGCAGAAGCTCTGTAGTCTAATTAGATCCCATTTGTCAATTTTGACTTTTGTTTCAATTGCTTTTGGCGATTTCATCATAAGGTCTTTCCCCATGCCTATGTCCTGAATGGTATTGGCTAGATTTTCTTCTAGGGTTTTTATAGTTTTGGGTTTTACATTTAAGTCTTTAATTAATCTTGAGTTGATTTTTGTATAAGGTATAAAGAGGGAATCCAGTTTCAGTTTAATGCATATGGCTAACCATTTCTCCCAGCACCATTTATTAAATAGGTAATCATTTACCCATTGCTTGTTTTGTCAAGCTTGTCAAAGATCAAATGGTTGTAGATGTGTGTTTTTATTTCTGAGTTCTCTATTCTGTTCTGCTGGTCTATGTGCCTATTTTTGTACCAGTTCCATGCTGTTTTGATTACTGTAGCCTTATAGTATAGTTTGAAGTCAGGCAGCATGATACTTCCAGGTTTGTTTTATTTCTGGATTGTCTTGGCTATGTGAGGTCTTTTTTGGTTCCGTGTGAATTTTAAAATAGTTTTTTCTAATTCTTTGAAGAATGTCAGTGGTAGTTTAATGGAAATAGTGTTGAATCTATAAATTGCTTTGGGCAGTATGGTCATTTTCATGATATTGATTCTTCCTATCTATAAGCATGATACACTTTTACATCTGCTTGTATCCTCTCTCATGTCCTTGAGCAGTGGTTTGTATTACTCCTTGAAGAGGTCCTTCATTTCCCTTGTTTTCCTGGGTATTTTATTCTCTTTGTGGTAATTGTGAATGGGAGTTCATTCATGATTTGGCTCTCTGACTGTCTGTTGTTGGTGTACCAGAATGCTTGTGATTTCTGCACATTGATTTTATATCCTGAGACTTTGCTAAAGTTGCTTATCAGCTTAGGAAGTTTTTGGGCTGAGTTGATGGGGTTTTCTAGATATAGATCATGTCATCCTCAAACAAAGACAATTTGAATTCCTCTCTTCTTATTTGCAAACCCTTTATTTTTTACCTTGCCTGATTGCCCTGGCCAGAACTTCCAATACTATGTTGAATAAGAGTGGTGAGTGAGGGCATCCTTGTCTTGTACCCATTTTCAAGGGGAATGCTTCCCATTTTTGCCTGTTTAGTATGATATTGAATGTGAGTTTGTGATAAATAGCACATATTATTTTGAGGGATATTCCTTCAATATCTCACTTATTGAGTTATTTACATGAAGGAGTGTTGAATTTTATCAAAGGCCTTTTCTGCATCTATCGAGATAATCATGTAGTTTTTGTCTTTAGTTCTGTTTACATGATGAATTACATTTATTGATTTGTGTATGTTGAACCAGCCTTGCATCCCAGGGATGAAGCCGACTTGATCATGGTGGATAAGCTTTTTGATGTGCTGCTGAATTTGGTTTGCCAGTACTTGACTGAGATTTCTGCATAGATGTTCATCAGGGCTATTGGCCTGAAGTTTTTGTTGTTGTTGTTGTTGTTGTATCTCTGGTGTCAGGATGATACTGGCCTCATAAAATGAGTTAGGGAGGAATCCCTCCTTTTCAATTGTTTGAATAGTTTCAGAAGGTATGATACCAGCTCCTCTTTGTACTTCTGATAGAATTCAGCTATAAATCCATCTGAATGTAGGCCTTTTTTTAGTTGGTAGGCTATTTATTACTGCCTCAATTTCAGAACTTGTTATTGGTCTATTTAGGGATTCAAATTCTTCCTGGTTCAGTCTTGGGATGGTGTATGTGTCCAGGAATTTATCCATTTCTTGTAGATTTTCCAGTGTATTTGCATAGAGGTGTTTATAGTATTCTCTGATGGTTCTTTGTATTTCTGTGGGGTCAGTGGTGGTATCCCGCTTATCATTTCTGATTGTGTTTATTTGGATCTTCTCTCTCTTTTTTTAAAATCAGACTCACTAGCAGTCTATTCTATTGATTCTTTAAAAAAAAAAAAAAAAAAAAAAGCTCCTGGATTCATTGATTTTTTTGGAAGTGATTTTTTTGTGTTTATCTCTTTCAGTTCTGCTCTGAGATTGGTGATTTCTAGTCTTCTGCTAGCTCTGGAGTTTGTTTGCTCTTTGTTCTCAAGTTCGTTTAGTTGTGATGTTAGGGGGTTGATTTGAGATCTTTCTAGCTTTTTGATGTGGGCATTTAGTGCTATAAATTTCCTACTTAGCACTGCTTTAGCTGTATCACAGAGATTCTGATACATTGTTGCTTTGTTCTCATTTGTTTCATAGAACTTCTTGATATCTGTCTTAATTTCATTATTTACCAGGAGTCATTCAAGAGCAGGTTGTTCAATTTCCATGTAGTTATGTGGTTTTGAGTGGGCTTTTTAATCTTCAGTTCTCATTTGATTGCACTGCGGTCTGAGAGAGTGTTTGTTATGATTTCAGTTATTTTGCATTTGCTGAGGAGTGTTTTACTTCCAATCATGTGATCAATTTTAGAGTAAGTGCACTGAGGAAAATTTATGTTCTCCTGTTTTTTGGGTGGCAAGTTCTGTAGACATCAATCAGGTCCACTTGGTCAAGAGCTGAGTTCAAGTCCTGGATCTTTGTTAATTTTCTCTCTCAATGATCTGTCTAATACTGACAGTGGGTTATTAAAGTCTCCCTCTATTATTGTGTGGGGGTCTAAGTCTCTTTGTAGGTCTCTAAGAACTTGTTTTATGGATCTCAGGGCTCCTGTATTGGGTACATATATATTTAGGATAGTTAGCTCTTCTTGTTGAATTGAACCCTTTAACATTATGTAATGCCCTTCTTTATCTGTTTTGACCTTTGTTGGTTTAAAGTCTAGTTTTTCAGAAACTGTGATTGCAACCTCTGCATTTTTCTGCTTTCAATTTGCTTGGTAAATTTTCCTCTGTCCCTTTATTTTGAGTCTATGTGCATCTTTGCATGTGAGATGTGTTCTTTGAATACAGCACACTGATGGGTCCTGTCTTTGTATCCAGCTTGCCATTCTGTGTTTCTTAATTGGGACATTTAGCCCATTTACATTTAAGGTTAATATTGTTATGTGTGAATTTAATCCATTATCATGATGCTGGCTGGTTAATTTTGCAAACTTGTTAATATAGTTGCTTCGTAGAGTTGTTGTTCTGTGTACTTCAGTGTGTTTTTGTAGTGGATAGTAATAGTGCTTCCTTCAGGAGCTCTTGCAAGGCAGACCTGGTGTTCACAAAATTCCTCAGCAGTTGCTTGTCTAAAAAAAGATTTTATTTCTCCTTCACTTATGAAGCTTAGTTTGGCCTAATATGAAATTCTGAGTTGGAGTTTCTTTTTTTAAGAATGTTGAATGTTGGCCCCCAATCTCTTCTGGCTTTTAGGGTTTCCACTGAGAGGTACACGGTTAGTCTGATGGGCTGCCCTTTGTGGACGACCTTGCCTTTCTCTCTGGCTGCCCTTAACAATTTTTCCTTCATTTTTACCTTGGAGAATCTGATGATTATGTGTCTTGGGGGTAAATCTTTTCATGAAATATCTTACTGGGGTTCTCTGGATTTCCTGGATTTGAAAATTGGCCTGTCTTGCTAGATTGGGGAAGTTCTCCTGGATGGTGTCCTGAAGTGTGTTTTCCAACTTGGTTCCATCCTCCCCGTCTCTTTCAGGTTCTCTAATCAGTCATAGGTTCAGTCTCTTTACATAGTCCC